TCCTAGTAAGGGACTCCTCAGCAGTGCGCATCCACGATCTCGCCCGCGCGATTCCAACCCAGGAACTATCGGTATCGCACCCTGTTAAAAACCTTTCCTGGTACTGACAGTAGTGTGATGCCTCTGTAGTTCTCACCGTTGCACCGATTCATGCATTGCGAGTAATCTTTCGCAGTAGATGCATATAACATTTGTGTATGAAGGCGACTATACTGATGACAATTTATTTCGTTAATGCAGATAAGTTGACTACAAGATTATTGGGTGCGATATTTTTGATTCATATCTGGGTTTATGATACTTTCAATTTGTGCACTGCTATTCTCACACATTCCAATAACCTAGTTATTAACTTGCGTTTATTATATGTTAATATACCTCAAAGTCTCATACTAGGATGAAGCGGTCGTCCAGTGCTTCCAGATTTTCCATGATGGTCTAGCTTTAGTTGATTCATGAATTCAACTATTAAATAATTCTATTAGTTCACTAGGCCACCATAACTTATGTACCAACGTTATTTTAAGTGATACTGAATAGCACCGACTAGGGGACTATCATCACATTTCTTGACATTGAAACATTTTTCTTATAAATATTTATATGATTTCTTATTTTGGAGTCGTCGAGCGGAAACTTCTGAGTCAACTTTCTAAATTAGTTTATTACCATCATATCTGAGTCATCATCTAGTTTATCTTGAAGCTTTCATGATGTCTGTAGGGAAAACAACATAAAACTGGAACGAAGCCGATTCTCAATCTAATCAACTTTCGACAACTTCTTTACTTAATGTAAATAGTATATTCAGGATAATTTCATTTTCAAATTTATTCGTGGATTGATGTTTTTGTAATCCATCATTTCTTAATTGCACTAGGTTAATTTAACGTAACAGAAGACTATAAAGCGGGATGGCAACCTGGACCGATGCACATATGTGCCTGGTCCTACGTTGTATCTGACTGACTGACTGAAGACTATAAGGACTTCGTCTAAATTTGATCGAATTGTTTCACAGTATTTGGGTGCCGAGTTGATGTGGGACAGTAAAGAACACTATTGCTTCGTAAAATGGTTTTATTTTAGTTTGTTATTGATCACTAGTCATATATTTCCGAATTAGATGGTGACAAAGCAATTCCTCAACTCATAACTGAGTGAACATTGAAAAGACCTATTCCTTGACCGAACAAAGCAAAACACTGATATTTCTTTACAAAAAAAGTAAACTACTAACATGTTTGTGAGTAATTCAATGAGTAATGATTAAATAGTTAAGTATAAAGGCAAAGACTAATAATAGTAAATCTAGATCACTGATTATCGCCCTGCAACTTTCAGTCTATGGAAATAATTATCGATCCAGACTTTAAACCTGTTTGCTATACTGCTTAATTTCTTCTCATTCTACGATAAGGGTTCACATTGACTTTTTGGATAGGTGTATGGTAGCTAAAAGTTTGTTGTTCAAAATGACGAATTAATATCGGTAAACACAAAAGTAAATCAGTGCATCAGGGTGACTAAACGCCAGTTTTTGTAAAACAATTCTTTTGTTTATATATCTGAAGATTTTCTAGAACCATTACCTCTCATTCCTGCAACAATATGGACTCGTAAAGATATTGCAGAATTCAAACGAGAAATTCTCGATGTACAGAAGGAATGTTGTATAAAGATAAATTCTTTAGCAACTGCAACAGTAAGTCTCACAGTGTATTTTCTTATTGATTTCATTACTTAGCTGGTCATTCTATGATGATTTGAGCTCGATACTTTGTGATAGGCAAATGTCATACTTAAAAATTGTTAGAGAAATAAATTTGATAGTTTAATATATAAATTCTATGAATAAACTAGGCGCTAATCTAGTCGAATTTTTCGTATAGCTATTCCGGATTTCACTCGATTTTTAAAACTGAACCACTTCACTTTATGACCTGAATGAATATTTTAAGACATCAAGGCATCTATCCACCCTTATACCAACAGTTATCGTTGGGTAAATTGAAAAAAGGAGACTTTAACTTGGACTTTTAAACTCAGAAATAAAGAAAAAAAGATTATCTTAGTTTAAGCTCTATATGTTTACCATACCGGACATCCATATGTTTGTATGTGTTGTCATCAGTGACTTGAGGCTTCTGAAATTATGAAAAGTAACTAGATAACAGTGATATGAATAATGTATATTGACAACTCCGCTGAATTCTAGGATCTCATATAAATATGGAGAATAGTCTTAGGTATTCCATTAGCGGTTTTAGGACATGCTGTTAAAATGGAATTAACGAATATAGAATATATCTTGGTTGATTTTTTCACTATTGATTTTGGTACACCGGTTTTCTTTAATTTATCTCACAATATGAGCCAAAAGTATTCAGCCCGGATACAGATTGATGTTACATGACTATCTTTTCAGAGCGTATTTTCGTTAACGAGATTCTATCATATTACATCCCAAGACAACAAATTTATCTTCAACATTGATATTCTACACCTGGAATGTCTTAACTACTAGTATTTATGTGGTGGTCCTAATGGTAACAAAATGACATTTATCTTGAGTATAACTAAGTAGTAATTGTATCAAATAATCTATGGCGGTCATGTTTACTTTTGCACAAAGGCACTTGAATGTTGGATCGTTTTCTTAAATTGTTAATAAAGTAGTATAGACGAATTACGTTACGATTAAACCACATTGATCTAAATGTATGCAATACGCATTATATTTCTGAGGTCACCTGTGGTCACATCAATGAATTAATGAACCAATATTTCAACGGTTTAAGAATCCCAATAGAATATTCAAAAATGAAGAATATTTGAGCGAACAAGTATTTTCAATAACTTCACCATCAGGCTCTACAGTTATAAGTCCACAATTATCGTGATATTTTAGAAACGTCAAAATAAGACATGTATTAATGAATTTGACAATATTATATATTAAAAATAGTGAACGTTTGCATCTGTTACGACATATACACCTCAAAATTGTGTTATTTATAAATTAGAAGGGTCATTTAATAAAAGGCAAATGATTCATGATAGTGTCAAGTCCCAATCAGTATAACAGTAATATAGCAAAAATGGAACGAAAATCGTGTAAATAAAATGCCTAGTAAGAGAATTTCATCTTGTTAATTGAAGTAATGATAAGAATATCAATCGTAGTGATAATAATATTGTAAACATGTACCAGCATGATTACTTATTTACTTACGCCTGTTACTCCTCGTGAAGGAGAATAGGCCGCTCACCAACACTCTCCATCCAACCCTGTCCTGGGCAATCCTTTCCAGTTCCTATTGATCCTTTTCATATCTGCTTCTATTTCTCGACCTAATGTGTTCTTGGCCTTCCTCTTTTCCGTTTCCCTTCAGGATTCCAAGCTAGGGCTTGCCTCGTGATGCAGTTTGACGATTTGCGTAATGTATGTCCTGTCCATTTCCATTGTCTTTTCCTAATTTCCTTTTCATCTGGAAGCTGGTTTGTTCTCTCCCACAAAAGGCTGTTACTGGTATCCGGCCAATGGATGTTGAGTATCGTGCGTAGACAGCTAGTTATAAATACCTGAACCTTCTTGGTAACAATTGTGGTAGTTCTCGAAGTTTCAGCTCCGTACATTAGAACTTTCTTGATGTTCGTATTGAAGATTTTGATATTGGTTGACAGTTGTTTGGGTTCCATATGTTCTTCAATTGTAGGAATGTTGTCCTTGCTTTGCCAATCCTTGCCTTTACGTCTGCATCTGAACCTCCTTGTTCATCGACGATGCTTCCCAGTTATGTGAAGGATTCTACATCTTCCAGAGTTTCGCCATCAAGAGTGATTGGATTGCTGTTCTTTGTTTTGAATTTGAAGACCTTGGTTTTCCTCTTGTGTATATTGAATCCTACTGATGCAGAGACTGCTGCTTCACTACTTGTCTTCATCTGCATTTGTTATTGTGTATGGGATAAAAAAGCCAGATCATCTGCGAAGTAAACATTTTCTCATTGATTTCAATTTGTCCATTGTATCCCATGTTCCCTCTCAGGTGTCGTGGTCTTCATAATCCAGTCGACCACCAGAAGAAAGAGAAAGGGAGAGAGTAGACAGTCTTATCTGACTCCGGTCCTTACTTGGAATGCATCTGTCAGCTGTCTTCCATGCACGACCTTGCACTGTAGTCCGTCGTATGAGTTCCGGATCATGCTGACAATCTCATAAACTCCGTAGTGTCGAAGAAGTTTCCATAACGTCCTATCTACACTGTCAAATGTCTTTTTATAATCAATGAAGTTGATGTACAGTGACGAGTTCCACTCAACTGATTGTTCGACGATGATCCGTAGTGTCGTGATTTGGCCTGTGCACAGTCGATCCTTAAGGAATCCAGCTTGTTGATCTCGAAGTTGGGTGTCTACTGAGTCTTTCATTTGGTTCAGCAACACCCTGTTAGAAACCTTTCCTGGTACTGACAGTAGTGTGATGCCTCTGTAGTTTTCACATTTGCTTAGATCTCTTTTCTTTGCAATCTTGATGAGGTATCCTTCTTTCCAGTCCGTCGGCATTTGTTCTTCCTCCCAAATCTTTTTGAATAGAATGTGAAGCATGTTTGTAGTTACTTCGATGTCTGACTTCAGTGCTTCAGCTTGTATATTGTCTGGTCCTGTTGCTTTCCCGCTCTTGATTTGTCTGATGGCCATTCTGATTTTCCCCGTCATTGGTGGAGAGAAATCTATAGGAAGATCTAATTGTGCTGCTTCAATATCCAGTGGATTCAATGGAGAACGCTTATTCAAGAGTTCCTCGATGTATTCTACCCGTCTGTTCCTTTGTTCTTAAGTCTCGGTGAATGTCTTGCCTTCTTTGTACTTGACTGGTCTTTCTGGTTTACAATATTTCCCTGCTAGTTTCTTCGGTGTATGACACAACTTTCTCATATTTTCTCTTGAAGCTTTTTCCGCCGTCGTTGCTAGGTTCTTCCACGTATTTCTGCTTGTCGGCTCTAACGCTCCTCTTCACTCGCTTGATTGCTTCAGTGTATTCAACTCGTGCTTTGAATTTCTGTGCTCTTGTTCGACTGTTGTTGATTGATGTCTTCTTGTTCTACCTGTCTTGAATCCTGTCCAGTGTTCCTATAGAGGTCCATTCCTTATAATGATGCTTCTTGAGGCTAAGAACCTCTTGACACGTTGACGTTAGTGCTTCTTTGATGCCTTTCCAGTTGTCCTCCATAGTAGTTTCTTCTTCCTTCAGTAGATCCTGTAAGGCTTGGAACCTGTTGTTGAGAGCTATCTTGAATTCATTGAGTTTGTCAGTATCTCGAAGGAAGGCCGTATTGAACCTTTGTAGTGCTGTTTGTCCAGTTTTTCTTTAGCTTCAGTTTTAAATTAGCCACAACTAGGTGATGATTTGAAGCTATGTCAGCTCCTCTCCTGATTCTCACATCTTCCATTGTCCTTCGGAACTTTTTATTGATGCAAATATGATCTATCTGGTTCTCTGTAGTGTGGTCTAGTGAGATCCATGTAGCCTTGTGTATACGCTTGTGTGGAAATATTGTGCCGCCTATGACCAATTTGTTGAATGCACACAGATTCGCAACTCTTTCCCCATTTTCGTTTCTCTCTCCCAGTCAATCCATGTCGTCCCATGATATCTTCATATCCGGTGTTGTCTACTCCGACTTTGGCATTTAGATCTCCCATCAGAATGGTGAGATCCTTTCTTGGGCACTTCTCTATGGTTGACTGCAGCCGCTCGTAGAATTGATCTTTAATGTCGTCGTTGCTATCATTGGTGGGTGCATAACATTGGATAATATTCATTGTGATCCCCTCCTTCTTTGTTTTGAATGATGCTTTGATGATTCTGTATCCGTGAGATTCCCACCCTACAAGTGAATTTCTTGCTACTTTGGACAGTGTTATGGCTGAAAAATAATTCTGCAGATTAAGGGGGAGAGAATCGTTGATCGGACCAAAGACGCACAAACACGTAGGACGACCTAGGGTTCTGATTGGTCCTGCTTCCCTGTCCAGCCCAGCCAGTTGAGTCCAGAAGACAAGTCACAACCTCTGAGATATGAATCATTGTATTTCAAACATACTCTATTTATATACCAAGCAAAACAAACCACATCGTACCATAAAAATAGAAAACAACATTTTGTACAATATTCACAAGTGAACAGATATCGACCAATAGAAAATGTCCATTTAAAGTCCAAGGACACCATTGGACTTAGCATGATAATTATTGGTCTATTCCTGCGCATCCACAACAGACAGCATTAGAGCAACTCCCTGAGTGTGTGGAGGATTTACCTCTTCGTGGCAGGAGTATAACAGCATCTCTCCCATATTTAGCCTTTGTTTTTCAGCTTGGGTCCAATGGGTTTTGCTGATTCCCAGTACTGCCAAGTTGTATCTCCTCATTTCAGTTGCAATTTGACTGGTCTTCCCGATCTTCCACATTGTTCGGACGTTTCATGAACCTATAAAAATTCTTGCTCTGGGTGTTAGAAGGGGCGTCAGCCTCGTGACTTCCGAAGACTCTCCGCTTCCACCATGAGGCGTCATAGTTCTTCTAAATGAAGACCTAACTCCCAGAGCAGAGTTGAAATGGTTTGGATTATTTTTTCTGGTTAGCGTTTCTTTAGCGAGTTAGTTTTCTACGGATGGGTTCGCTAACCCTATGCCCAACCCTCCTCCTTTACCCGTGCTTGGGACCGGCAGTAACTCTAGAAGAGCTACAGGCGGAATCACCAGTATGATTGGAGTTACTAAATCGATCAACATTTAGCATCTTATTGTCACTATATGGATAATACTTTCATAGTATAGAAAAAGAGCATGAAAAGGAGAATTATTTAATATATTAATAACATTCATTCATCATTATTTTACACTGGAGAAAGAAAAGAACAATAGCATGTCGTTTCTAGATTCCAACTAACTAGACAAACAGATGGAACATTAAGAAGAGGGTTACACAGAAAGTCTACAGCTGGACAATACACACATTTCTGTAGTGCAGTACCAATCTAATACAAAAAAATTGATCAAGTTCCTGACTCATCGTGCTAGAATGATTTGCTCGGATGACATTCTTGTAGATGAATTGCTTAATATTCGTAACTTGCTTAGTAGGAATTGGTACCCAACGAAATTTATCGACAAACACATGAAGGAGATGAAAAGAAGGACAAGGTTACCTACCGTTTCGAAGAAAGTATTGTTCTTAAAATTACAATTCTCAAATGATACTACTGAATAAATCGTGACTCATAGGTTACGAAATGCAGTACAAAAAATTTAATGCAGCCAGACTGAGCGTCGTCTTCTACAACCTTTATTAAATGACCTTTCTAATTTATAAATAATACAATTTTGAGGTGTATATGTCGTAACAGATGCAAACGTTCACTATTTTTAATATATAATATTGTCAAATTCATTAATACATGTCTTATTTTGACGTTTCTAAAATATCACGATAATTGTGGACTTATAACTGTAGAGCCTGATGGTGAAGTTATTGAAAATACTTGTTCGCTCAAATATTCTTCATTTTTGAACTAATATTTCTTCTGTATTACGAATCCTTACTAACTGTAACTATCCAAGTTTTGTATATGTTATAGTTCACATTGATAGCGGTTCGATAATGTTGTATTATAATTATTTATATTCTCGTTTCTAGGTACGTGTTCCAACTCATCCAAATGGGAAAGCAATATGTTGGGAATTCGCTACAGACAATTATGACTTAGGTTTTGGATTGTATTTTGAATGGGATTTGGAACCGCCTGAAAATATTTCTGTTAATATTTCGGAGTCAAGTGATGAAGAAGGCGGTGAAGATGAGGATGAAGAAGGACCTAGTAATGGGAATTCTATGGAACAAACGTCGCCTGAAAACGAAAATAAGGGTAGGAAATTAGCTTTGATTGTGAGAATACCAGTGTCCATATTTAGATTATGTTTCTATGCATAACGTTGAATTCCGTAATTGGATTATCATACATGTTTATATTGATTTTTTCAGTGTATAAGTAATCGGTATTCATTAAGCGAATAAGTCGTTTTGTTAATTTTTCTTCAGGTAACGGCCCATATTTATTGTCATGTAGCAAATGTAATATCGTTTGATTGTGCAAATAATAAACAGCACGGGGTTGTTAAAAGATATGTTGTGTACTTACTGTAACTTATGAACCGTTTCATTTGCTTCTTATCAACTATGATTCATCATATACTAATAAAATGTAAGCTGCTTTACAAATACAATCCATTTATAATTCAAATACTATCATTCAAGATGGGATGGACAACACCGGCTACGGAGATATCAATGAAAGCTTCAAGATAACACTAGATGATGACTCAGATATGATGGTAATAAACTAATTTAGAAAGTTGACTCAGAAGTTTCCGCTCGACGACTCCAAAATAAGAAATCATATAAATATTTATAAGTAAAAATGTTTCAATGTCAAGAAATGTGATGAAATAGTCCCCAGTAGTCGGTGCTATTCAGTATCACTTAAAATAACGTTGGTACATAAGTTATGGTGGCCTAGTGAACTAATAGAATTATTTAATAGTTGAATTCATGAATCAACTAAAGCTAGACCATCATGGAAAATCTGGAAGCACTGGACGACCGCTTCATCCTAGTATGAGACTTTGAGGTATATTAACATATAATAAACGCAAGTTAATAACTAGGTTATTGGAATGTGTGAGAATAGCAGTGCACAAATTGAAAGTATCATAAACCCAGATATGAATCAAAAATATCGCACCCAATAATCTTGTAGTCAACTTATCTGCATTAACGAAATAAATTGTCATCAGTATAGTCGCCTTCATACACGAAATGTTATATGCATCTACTGCGAAAGATTACTCACAATGCATGAATCGGTGCAACGGTGAGAACTACAGAGGCATCACACTACTGTCAGTACCAGGAAAGGTTTTTAACAGGGTGTTGCTGAACCAAATGAAAGACTCAGTAGACACCCAACTTCGAGATCGACAGGCTGGATTCCGTACGGATCAGTCGTGCAGAAACCGAATTGCAACACTATTGATCATCGTTGAACAATCAATCGAGTGGAATCCGTCACTTTACGTCAACTTCATTGATTATAAGAAGGCGTTTGACAGGGTGGACAGGAGAACATAATGGAAACGTTTTCGACACTATGGAGTTCATGAGAAGATTGTCAACATGATCCGGAATTCATACGACGGACTATAGTGCAAATTAGTCCATGGAAGACAGCTGACAGATACATTCCAAGTGAAGACCAGAGTCAGACAAGACTGCTTACCCCCTCCCTTTCTATTTCTTCTGGTGGTTGACTGGATTATGAAGACCTTGTCGTCTGAGAGGGAACACGGAATACAATGGACAGATCGGAATCAATTAGAAGATTTGGATTTCGCAGATAATCTGGCCCTTCTATTTCATACACAATAACAAACGCAGATGAAGACAAGTAGTGTGGCAGCAGTTTCTGCATCAATGTACACAAAGGAAAAAACAAGATTCTCAAATACAGAACAGAGAACACCAACCCAATCACACTTGATTGGAAGATGTGGCATCTTTCACGTACACCGGAAGCGCCATCGATAAACGTGGAGTATCTGATGCAGATGTAAAGGCAAGGATTGGCAAAGTAAGGACCGCATTCCTACAATTGAAGAACATATGTAACCCAAAACAACTGTCAACCAATATCAAAATCTTCAATACAAACATCAAGAAAGTTCTAATGTACAGAGCTGAAACTTCGAGAACTACCACAATTGTTACCAAGAAGGTGTAAGTGTTTACAAACAGTTGTCTACGCAAGAGACTCAATATCCGTTGGCCGGATACCATCAGCAGCAGCCTACTGTGCGAGAGGACAAACCAAGTTCCAGATGAAGAGGAAATCAGGAGAAGTTTTAAGTGGATAGGACATACATTACGCAAATCGTCAAACTGCATCACGAGGCAAGCCCTAACTCGGAATACTGGAGGGAAACGGAAAAGAGGAAGACCAAAGAACACTCTCATTCCGGAATTGTAGACAGACATCGAAAAGATGAATAGCAACTGATAATGTTTGCTCAGGATGGAGTTAAATAGAGAATGCTTGTGGGTGGCCTATGCTCCTCCACGAGGTGTGACAGCCGCGAGTAATTCGACGCTGTTCCTCTTCTGTATCTAAAAATCATTGGTACTACATGCCATGTCACTAATATTTCAGTAGTAATATGTGAATTATGACAAGTGCGTGAACATACTTTTTTCGGATGCATATCTCGTTCGTCGTTTTTGAGCGACCAGTAATCAGACGCAGCCACTATTTTAAAGCGTAGTTTTGACCACTTAGAATATGAAGTGATAGCTGAACAAAAAATTCGATAGTTTTTTTGATAGGTTTTTGAAATAGTTAGATTTAATACTGCAGAGCTTCCATGTAAGTTACTAATCATTTCACTAATAACCTCTACTAATATTATAGGTATCCATACAAAGGTTTGACTTGTTCATTTCAAATAAATCGAGGATTGGATAGGAGGTTAATCATAATGATATATTTGTGACGTAGAAATTTGGATTTCTGACCTTTCGTGAATTAATGTAGGCCACTTCTTCAGAGTACGTAGATGAATAATCGATTTAACATAAGTTTATATATTATAAAGGAACAAGGCAGAGTATTTAGTCTAATCAAAATTAGATTAGGTTTGATTATTTCAGTGTCATGTGAACTTTCTGGTCAATGTGATTCTGTATGAGACATCATTGTGTGTTTCATGATGGGTATGAGAAACGTATGATTTGTTGTATGAAGAAGCGTAGTTAGAATTTGAGCGTATGTATGAGGAACGAACAGAAGTAAATGTGGTTGTTTGGATAAACAGTCCAAGTTGGATATATAGTTCGGCTTTTTTTAGCTTTACATGAAACGCTTTAGCTAATCGCTTTTCTTTATAGTTGGAAAAACCGTTGAATTATTTTGATATTTTTAATACCGACTTGGTTACTGAACATACATGTGCTACTATTTCCGATTTAATTTGTAAACTTTCCAGCTCTACAGGATTATTAGGTGTTTTTGTGTTCCTTGGTTTGTGTCGAAATTTGACAATGAGACTCTCAGGTACAGAACACATTGGAGGTCATTTAAAACAGCAGTGCCAATCAGAGTACTCCAATTAAAATTGTTATTCACAGGTGAATAGTTTCGTCTTAGTATTCTCTCCTGAATAGATGCGGAGCCAGAAAATGTTTTGCACTGAATGAATGTGCAGAGTTGAAATCGATGTACTACCACTATTTGTTCGGAAAATATAGTTCGTAGTGTAATTCTTAATTTCTGTAATTAGTGTAGTCTACAAATCTCAGTAAGTCTGATGTATAATCTAAAAGATGATACTACACTGGGACCTGACTTAAATCGATGAAGTCCAGAATAAGTGTGCAAGGTATGTGTTAAACGTAAATGAGAAAAAAGCATTCTTACACATTTTTCACTGCCTGTAATAATTTACTTTTTACTTGTATTCAGAATCTCATGATTTGGAATTAGGCAAGAAGTCATTACAACAGCGTTTACCTACCGACGAACTTATACCAATCTATAGAAGGGATTGTCATACAGAAGTTTATTGTGGTAGCCATCAGTATCCAGGTGTTGGTGTGTATGTATTCAAATTCGACAATTCATTTTCTCTCTGGCGTTCTAAGTGGCTGTATTACCGTATTTTCTATACTCACTGAGTAGTTTCACACAGCCACCGTTCGAAACATTGAAATTATGTTGTTCACATTCTCTACGTTACTTCCGATTCAAATTTACTGTGAACCAATTTGGTTCTCCTTCCCATTGTTTTATTTTGACATGTTGCAAATTGCTTCTGATCTCAGCAAATATAATATATATATATATATATATAGCATTTATCGCATTTCATAATCATGCATCAAAATCCTGCATAATTGATTCTCTTCTCTTTAAAGTATCCTTCATATTTTGGTTTGTTCTGTTTTTCAACCCTAAAGTATCTTGTGTTGGAATGAATTAATTTGCTTCATTTTTTCAACATTTATTTCAATTATAGTATTTTCTAATAGTGATTTCTTTTCTGCGCAACACTTCATGAAAAGTAAATGTCTGTATTTGAAATATTCTGTTGAGTCCATGATTGACAAAGTGATAAGCAGATGTACTCAGAGTTTGTTGTAATTTTAAAGTCTGTGTATTGTTTATATATCACTTTTACTTGATAAGTAGTATATCATTAAAAATTTGGATAATTAAATTAACCGGTACCAGAATTTATGTTGATTATTGCGTTAATGCTTTATAATCTCGGTGGAATTCGACTCACCAATTAACGTTTTAATCATATTAGTGATAAACGATCAGATTAAAAGTTCAATTTGTGACCACATAATTTATGTTCTAACCGAATTTCATCATAGATCTACTAATTTCATTATAGATCTACTGATGGAAATAACTTTCTCGTCGACTGAGTTTTCGGGTATTGATCTCTATCCAGGAGGTCCACTTATCGACTTAGAATACGCAGATGACATAGTCCTGTTTGGTGAAGACGCTGACAAAATGCAGAGTCTTCTGGTAGCACTGAGCAACAATGCCAGAATGTTTGGAATGCGCTTCTCTCCCTCTAAATGCAAGTTGTTGCCTCAGGACTGGTATGCGTTAACACCTGAACTAAGGATAGGGAGTGAAGTAGTCGAAAGCGTTGACAACTTCACTTATCTTGGAAGTCTGATCAGCCCTAACTGGTTGGTGTCTGACGAAATCTCTGCACGGATTCGAAAAGCTCGTTTGGCTTTTGCCAACTTACGTCACCTGTGGCGAAGGCGAGATATCCGTCTATCAATAAAAGGACGAGTATACTGCGCGGCAGTCCGTTCTGTTTTACTTTACGGCAGCGAAACATGCCATTAAGAGTAGAAGACACTCGTAAGCTACTAGTATTTGACCACAGATGTCTTAGAAATATTGCTGGCGTCTGCTGGGATCACCGGGTAAGTAATAGTGAGGTTAGACGCAGGGTATTAGGAAATGATGGTAAATCAGTTGATGAGGTTATGAATCTTCATCGACTGAGATGGTTGGGCCACGTGGTACGTATGCCTGAATACCGATTACCACGACGTGCAATGCTATCCGGTATTGGAGATGGTTGGAAGAAAGTTAGGGGCGGCAAAACCAAAACGTGGCATCAGTGCTTGAAGTCACTAACTTCTAGTCTGAGCCATGTTGGTAGATGCAGACTACTTGGTTGGGGTCCGCGTGACTATCGTAACGAATGTTTGGAGACTCTGGGTGACATGGCTCAGAATCGATCACAATGGCGTCGGTGTATACACTCCCTGTCTTCCCTTAAACTAAGAGATTAAAATCGCTTTATACCTTTCTTTCTACGAACCAATTTTTCCTGTACTATATCTCTATATGCAATCTTTCTTTTATATATTACCACCTTTGACCTAACCACTGCTATAAATCCGGTGTTCATCTTCTGCGCTGATGCGGTATGGCAACCTGGACCGATGCATATATGTGCCAGGTCCTACGTTGTAGCTGACTGATGTTCTAACCGGTAGTCATATACTTACAAAACAAAAGCGGTAAACTTAAGCATATATGAATAATTAGTTATTTTCTACTGGTACGATTAATGCATCTGGCTAAGAAGGAGATACGTATCCATATTACAATCGGGTCACTGATTACGTGTGAGCATTGATAATTACAAATCTTTTGTGCTCGACCGTAGCTGCTACCTTGACGCGGTGGTCGGGCTTGCCTATCGTGATGACCCAACCGAGCTATATTGGCTGGAACATATGTTCCTGTAGGTTTCTCCCATGCCAGGCAGGTCGATTTGAGAACGGTAAGACTAAAAGCAGCAACTCAAGATCTGAGGGCGAAGTTGTACTGCTGACTGTAGAGGGGTGTGACAACCGTAAGGTGTTCCTCTTGGACAACCAGCATGACAGCGATGCTGCCTTCCCACAAGAAGGGGCGGGGTTAGAGAAGGTCGACCCTAAAAATGTCACCTTACCTCACGGATTTCTGTCTCCGGCGGTCACATTCAAACCCCTCCTTCACCTCCTAATACCTTTTAAAGTCCGAACACTGTGCCAAATAGGACAGCAGGATTCCTTAGCTAGGACTTTACAATCCCGCGCCATCGATGTGTGCTGCGTCTCCGAAACGCGCATACAGGATCCGAGTAGCGTCATTCATTTGACCTCACCATGCCAAAATAAAGAACGGACTCGATTCACACTTCGTGTATCTGGAAGCCCTGATTCTGCTTCCCGTGGCCTCGCCGGCGTAGGTATAGCATTGAGTCCTAGGGCAGAACTAGTTCTCTTAGACTGGATCCCAGTAGACAGTCGTTTGTGCGCTCTCCATCGAAATAACTCAATTCAACCTTTGGTAGTTCTAGACCAACAACATGCGCTATAGGCAAAACGCTTTTTCCTGATAATTCAAGCCTTTGCTTCTCCTTTAAACTAGGATTTTTTACGTCATCTGTCATTGAATTAAGACTAGAGTCACTACCATGATAATCAACCCTATTCGAGTCTGAACCATAACACTTAAGGACATCAAAAGGCACTAGCTTGGTAATAGGGGATTCTTCATTAACATCAACGAACTTTGAGCTTGATTTCTTTCGACGATTAGTTGGCATTATAAACGAAACGGCCAAATATTTCCAGAAACGATAATCAAAATCCGCGAACGATTGCCAAACGAATTCGACCAAATAATAATTGTTTAGAACTGTAGGATCCAAACTACGGTTTGGATGTTGAAGAATAGCCGACAGGGGTTTTAGACACGCGCCCTTTCCCGTCGAAATCAGAACAAGTAATCGGGTAACTAGCGGTTCTAAACAAATATTATCACCCGGCTATTCAACCAATGATTGTTCAATCAATTAAATCAATCACAACAAATCAACGTTATTCTATCCTGGCTGGATAGATCACACACAACAGGAGGAACAAATCAATATGGCTACCGCCAAGAACAAGTGTCAAGTAAAACAACACAGATGCAGTTCAGGAAGAAACACAAACTTAGTGAATGCGTAAGAAAAACAAAAACTATAATAAAAAATACAAGTATTAACAACTCAAATGTAATCAAAATACAACAATGTACAACTAAGGGAATCAATAGGAGCAAAGTACAAGTATATACATGGAGGGATTTTCACCAACACACAAAACCTTCAAAATGGATCTTACAGTGTTCCCCTTGGACAACCAGCATCTGCAGCGATGCTGCCTTCTCACAAGAAGGGGCGGGGTTAGAGAAGGTCGACCCTAAAAATGTCACCTTACCTCACGGATTTGTCTCCGGCGGTAAGGCCCTTTCAAGAATGGAGCTAACACATTAAAAACCTCCCACGAAAAGGCCGTGCGCGACCGGCCTCAAGCAGTTGTCCCTTGGGCTCTGCGGTCACGCTCCCAGGTCGTTAAGACCAACACTAATCCGACTTCTTTTTCAGGTTCCTCAAGAAATACCCTTCCACGGTATGGGCGGCCGGGAAGTGATATCAGTCCTCATACCCGTAACAGCGCACTAGACCAAGTTGGTCACATTCAAATCCCTCCTACACCTCCTAATACCTCTCTTATCTCCATGACTAATCCTCCTCACGTCTCTTTATCACCTCGCACAGCTAGGGCAAACGATTCGAGTACGTGGAACGCCATTCCTGGTCTCCTGAAACCACGCTCTAAACTACACGTAGGAGCTTTTAACGTCCGAACACCGTGCCAAATAGGACAGCAGGATTCCTTAGCTAGGACTTTACAATCCCGCGCCATCGATGTGTGCTGCGTCTCCGAAACGCGCATACAGGATCCGAGTAGCGTCATTCACTTGACCTCACCATGCCAAAATAAAGAACCGACTCGATTCACACTTCGTGTATCTGGAAGCCCTGATTCTGCTTCCCGTGGCCTCGCCGGCGTAGGTATAGCATTGAGTCCTAGGACAGAACTAGTTCTCTTAGACTGGATCCCAGTAGACAGTCGTTTGTGCGCTATCCGACTGAACGGAACAGTAAGGATCCGGAAAGATAGGGATACTCGTCGTTGCCTCTTCGTCGTCTCTGCCTATTCTCCCACTGACTGCAGCTCAGATGATGTAAAAGGTGAGTTTTACAGAAAACTTTCCGACCTTCAGGAAAAGCTAGGCGCTCTGATGTAGTAATAGTGGCCGGTGACTTTAATGCTCAAGTAGGCAAACTAAACGAAACGGAAAGACACCGAGGTGGATCTTGTGGTATCGTGGCTCAAAGAACAGATAATGGCGACCGTCTGTTGCAGCTATGCTCAGATAACCGCCTGTTCCTTGCAAATACTAACTTTAAACATAAGGAAAAACATCTTTTAACATGGAGACCCCCTAATTCGTCCCAACATTAGACCCAAATAGATCACATCGCTATCAGCCACCGATGGAGGGGCTCGATAGAAGACTGTCGCTCATTCTGGAGCACATGCTTAGATTCAGATCATGTTCTAGTACGAGCGCGTATTTGCTTGCGTCTTACTGGACGTAGGAAAGACGCTGCAAGTAAACCTCTTAGGGCCCTACTTAATGATAGCCGAGCTGAAAATATATTTTAGGAACAACTAGAAAAACAGTTAGGCAGCCATACAAGTGATGCCCACCCCGAGGCACCATGGAATGATTTTCGAAAAGCTGTGGAAACAGCAGTGATATCTGCTAGTACGGTAACCCGTAAGGTTAGGGAGAAACACTGGATCTCAGCAGCATCTACCGCACTGATGGATGCTCGGAAACTCATTCCACCTGGCTCTGAACATAATGAAGAGCGGAGTCAGCTTAAGCGCAAGC